TATCTTGTCAGAGCAGTTACCATGAAAATATTTGTAGAAAAGACAGAGGGAAGCCACAGCACATCTGTGAGAAAGTGACTATAGATGAGATGCCAGATCAGGACCAATCAGATTGCATAGGACTTCTAGTTTTCTTAGGATTGCCTTGCTCACTGAAAAATAAATTCCTGGATTTCATTAGCAGATTCAAAATCGAATGGGCATAGCAAATAGATGATTTCTGAAGTTAATTCCACTGAACTAGTACGGGTAACCTTGCTAGCAGTTCAATATTGTTGGTCATATGCAAATCTTTCTCTTTGCCTTTCTTCTCAATTTCGTTATTTCCCCTGACTGGAATTAGTTAGCCATCTTCACGGGTAAATGACTTGCTTTTCGTCCCTGTCTCCTTATAGCAATGAAGCATATTCATATGGAAAAATCAATAACATGCCTGACTGAACATAAAATGGCCAAATAATCACTTCAGTCGCAATCTACAAACATGATTCAATAAATTTGTTTATTACACAAAGGTCTGATTTGTAATATGAAATTTCCGGGTCATAACTCAATAACATGAATCAAAACACAATGTCTTGCAGTTGGTGGGTGAAATGTTTGAAAAATAATCTAGACAGTTATCAATTCTCTTGCAATATCTCTAAAGTGATAATGTTTTGTAATAAAATATATTTATAAATGTAGAAGACAATAGGAAAAGTGTAATATTAGCCAACATGTTTTGTCCAATGTGGACTTTTTCAAGGCAAAAACAAAATGAATTTATTAAAACAAAATAACTATTAATCACAAAACAAAATGTTCTTAGAAACTGGAAGAATTTAGAAAATGCTATTATATTCATATTGTCAACTGAAAATTACTCTGAGAAATTTTTCATATATATATATATATATATATAAAAGTGAACATTGAATTCAACACTTAGAGCAACAGGCTGTTTCATGCTAACAGTCTGTCACCTCTAAGTGTTGACTTCAATGTTCACTTTTATATTTACACACTCTCTCTGATATTGAGCACTTTATCCCATAAATATAGCATACCTTAAGAGCATATTTTTTCATATATATATATATATATTTTCTCAGAAAATTAATTTCAGGCTTTCTCTGTCTAAGAATTTTTTCCTATTTTTGATATATTTTTTGTTTTAATACCATATCCCTTGAGGATGCAGTCCATCATGACTTGGTATCATGTTTTCTACTCACTGGAAGTGGAGTGATTATATTGAATCAATTGCTCGTTGCACTACTAAGATGATTCACTGTCATGCAAGATAATTTTTTTGCCAGAATCCTTCTTTTACATTTATAACTCTACCATTCACCCATGCATTGACTATTGCTGTCATATCTGGTTTAGAGCTCTGGTTATATATCTTGAGATTCTCAACAAAATCTAAAGAAAGATCTGCAATGTTAGTAGTCCTGACCTAGCATCTCGGTTTCAATCACTTTCCCACTGACATGACTTCCCTCTGTCTTTTCTATAAATATTTTCATAGCAGTTGCTCTTCTCCTCCTTGGTACCTCGATCATATGAATTTAAGCATATTATTAGATTGGCTAATAGGGCTCATTGTTTTATTGTTATATTATCTAGATGTAACCCAGGTTCTATTCTAATAGTTTCTTTTCTCGCACGTCTCACCTGGGGAATACTCCTTTTTTGATTTCTTGCTTCCCTGCCACTTACAGTCATCAAAATTTTAAATGCAATGTCAATCGCCATATTCTGTCCTCTTCGATCCTGTTCTTTTATTGTCCTTTCTCCTCACAAAAGTCTTCCACTCCCAATAACCCCATGCGTCTTAGTGTCATTATTGCCTTGCTTGGGGTGAAAGGATTAAAAAGAATAAATCTGATGGTGATGCAGATAAATATAGTATGACAAGCCATAACTGCAGGGAGAATGTATCACCCTAACTTCTCTCTGGTATAAGGTGCATCTAGTAAGAAGAATGATTGGAAGATAAGAAAATTGAAAGAAGCTGTGTACATAAGTCTTAGATAAAAATCTGTTTATCAGTCCAGTGTTTTTTTGTTATTTATGCTTAGCAAGGAAATCATTAGAGAGAAACTTTATTTTACATAATTAGTCCTGCTCTTAGCAGTTGGATATGTCTGTCTTTGGAGAAGGCAAACAAAATAAAAAGAAAGAAAAAAAAAAAAACCCAAAAATGAAAGTCTGTTTTCTGGGATTTTATTAACCAGGCATCACTTTCCCATCATTGGCAAGTTCAAAAAGTTTTCAGAATACTGATGATTCATCTCCAAATTCTATAAATATGGAATGGTTTTCAATATTGGAACCACTCTTCACAATCCCATGAATAAAGTTCACACAGAAGTGAATGATCAAAGACTGAAACTAACAAAAATGTAGAAATTAATGTAAGGGAGAAACGTGTCTTTAAGCGAAATCCTTTCCGTCATAGATTCTCTAAATTTTCATATCTGCTCATTTTTCATATCCAAACATTAAACAAAAGCAACTTTCTTAAGAAATAATGGATTTTTTATTTTTTTGTGATGTCAAGTAACACTTGTTGCCATTTTTGTAATGCTCATTATGGTAGAGACTTTGTAATCACAGATACAACTATAGTACGCCATTGAACAATGCTGATGTCAAACACTTTCAAATAACACTCGCACTAATAGTACTTGCTTGATAATACTTGCTCGAATAGTACCCCATATAGTGATCTGAACAGAGAAATAGTACAGTGAATAGAATAGAGAATAGCAGTCTGTATAGTAATAGAGGATAGAATAGAAATGGAGATCCATATAGTATAGTGGATAGACTAGAATTAACGATCAATTAGACACATGCTCCGTCCCATATATGCATTTCCTCTATGGTCACGTGGTCTACTTAATTCAGTAATGGGATCGCTTGTGTTTACTCACTGGCGATCTATGTTCAAACTCAAGTGTCAGTAACGACAGTTTATTCCTATATAGCATATTTATTAATCCAACAGATTTCATCAGTTAAAACATTATTTATAATAGATAGTCCTATTTGAATAGATGCTCCATTTAGTTATTAAACAGTATGTTTATTTATTTTCATCTACTGGCCTGAATATTTTTAAAGGGAATGCATCACTCTCTCTCTCTCTCTCTCATTCTGGGACAAGATCCATTTAATGAAGAACATCACTGGAAGATAAGAAATTTGAAAGAAGCTATGTATGATACATCAGCCTTACAGAAAACTATGGCCAGTTTAGATGTTTTTGTTTAACAAAGAAAGGATTAGCGAGAAATCTTGTTTTGTAGATTATCCCAGTCCTGCTGCCAGTACTTAGAATTGTCTTCATCTTTGCATTAGGCAAATAAAAAAAAAATAACTGAAAGCCTAATTCTTTGGAATCATTCTCACAAGCAGCACTTCTCTAAAGGGGTAGAAGCAGGGACACCCCTTGATACCATCAGCAAAAGATGGTGAAAATAGACATTTCCTGTGAGTATGGATTTCCACCTTAAAAGCAACCATGTATCAAATTTTGCCCTGGCATGCCAGCCTTCTTCGCATGCTTAAGGGTTATGGAATTTCACGTCGATTGTTTGACTTAATGCAATCATCCCTGTCAAAACGTGTATTGAAGGTTGTGTCTCAACGGATTCTCCTCCAGCGCCTATCCCACGAACGCAGGTGTTCCTCAAGGCTCCATTCTAGGCCCTGCTCTGTTCCTTATCTTCATCAATGACATCATAGGTGCCCAGGTAGGCATCTATGGAGATGACACTACTATTTACTCCTGCCTCAAAAACAAATCTAGTGTTGCTGACAAAACTAACCTGGCCGTTTGTCTCGAAAAGACCTCCAATTGGTTGTGAACTGGGACAGGAATTGGCTGGTTACCTTTAATGTCTCAAGGTTCTTAAAATCCAGAGACAGATATGCAATGTAATTGGCCTTGATATGGCATCTTGTCTGCAGTTGCTCTCTCACAGACGTGTCGTCACCTCCCTCTGTCTTTTTTACAAATACTTTCATGGTAACTGCTCCGATGAGCTGCTTTCGCTGGTTCCCAGATTTCAGGAATTTAAGTGTTCTACTAGGCTGGCATCTCGCTCTCACCCTTTCACTGTTGAAACTGCTAAATGTAGCTGTCTCTTCTACTCCAATAGCTTCATCTCTCGCACTTCTTACCTGTGGCACTCCCTCACCTTTTCCTGTTTCCCTGATAGCTATAATTTCCAACTATTCAAATGTAATGTCAATCGATGTCTCCAGATACCTTGATCTATCCCTTATTCTTTTCTTCATCCTTTCCTCTATCACTCCTTCCTGCCTTGCTTGGGATGAAATGCTTAAAAAAAACATAAGGAGATTAATATACCCGCCACCATTTTTTTTTTTCAATTTTAGTGAATACTACCAGAAATAAAGACATTCCACATTTCTGCATATAGATTGTACATCTGAAGAAGTTTATACAATAGTATTTAGAGATTTTAGATAAAATACAAAGAAGAATCTGCAATGTTATTGCTCCTGACCTGGCATCTCAGCTTCTTTTTAAGTTGGTTGGCTCTAAATTTTTCAGCATCTTGTTACAGTTTTTTTTATATATATATATATATATATATATATATATATATATATATATACACGACTAGTGAGCGAGTCAAAATGACTTAATTCCCTTTATAGTCTACCAATAGAAGGTTGATTGAATCAGAACCGCAGAACATTGTATCAAATGGTATGTATAAAGGCGGCCATCTTTGTTTTCCTACCGGAATGACCAGAGCCAACTTGTGAGGCGAACATGACAGACGGAAGAAATACGCTCTGCTACTTTGCTGCGATATCTACTGCGAACCTGCACTACGCTTTCCTACTGTCTCTGAAATATTCACTGCCAACCTCTGGATTCTATACTCGAAGACGACCGTCAAAATGTCTAACACATCTTCCTCTTATATAACTTAGGTTGAGATAGTTTCGATTAATTTCAAATGTTTGCTTACCTTAATAATAGCATCTTCGCTCATTTTGAAGGCACTGTCCGGTATTCTATATTGGAATATCTTTCCTGTAGTGATGATTTGGTCAGGGATTCCCTCCAAAATGGACGGACAGAAATGTGTTGTAATAACATTCTGATTTGCATGCGCAAATACAAAGCAGGCATATATGATGGCGGTGAGCCCACAATTTCTTATATGGCGTCTCATTTTGGTCATATAATCTGCTTGACTGAGGCAAAGAGACTGACAAGCATCTCAGTGTACACCTGCAAAAGAAGATTACATGAGATGAGAATAAAAATTAACAGGAAACAGAATTCAGTAAGTTATCTACATGATATGCCATGTCCCTACAAAACATGGAAGATCATGGCTCTCCACAACTTCATGTCGTTTATTTATAGTAACTTTTGAGCATTTACCATCCTTCTTTGTTCCTAGTTGATATGCATTCGGTTCAATGGATAATGACTCAGAGAGTCAAGTTTGATTTCAAGTCAAGCTTGATACATTCACTTACACACAAATACTCTTCAGAAAGGTACGAATCCATCTTTTCTCCCCATCTATGGGTTAAATAGTTGGATTTGTATCTGCAAAAAACATTGTCATCTCAAAAAAATAACAAAAAAAAAAACTGTTAATTAATATTCACTCACAAAAAAGTCATGATTCTTACAATCCAGAAATGGTTTGGCTTTAAATAACTTACAGCAGGTTGACAAACCATAAAAATCAAATCAATCTCTATTCATGTTTTGCCATCTATCCATAAAACCTTTTCCAGTAGGTTATTCACTGTTTCCTTGCTTCTCTTACCTTCAATATGTCTTATGAGTGTTAAATCGTGGCTCTCCACAACTTCATGTCTTTTTGCCATTTACTCTCCCTCTTTCATCCTTGTTCGACTATCCATTCATACAAATGAGTTAAATAGGTTACTTGCTGTTTGCACCCACTCCCCACACCTTCAGTACATCCTAAAAACATTTCTTAAGAATAGGTCAGGTCAGGTCAGGGATTAGTCCTTGTTATTGATACCATGTAACCCACTACAACCTGTTACTTGGAGAAAACATGAATGTTTTCAAATAATACCCATTACTCTGAGGGGCAATTATGCAGCATAGCACACCAACAACTTCATGGGTTATACTGGAATTAAAAGCTGCAATTTGAGATCTCACGGTCTGAAGCAGCTTATCTAGCTGGTTCAGTGGATTGCATGATCATATAGTATTTCTTGAATTCCCCTCTCTGAGAGCAAGACCATTATAAATCTAGTTAGTATTCTTATACGTATTGTTATTTGGCACATGGCCAAGTGGTTAGAATGTTCACATTCTGACCATGAGGCCTGGGTTTGAATCTCACCATGGTCGATTTGTCAGGAAGAAGACTTCCTAATGTTATCAGACTGGAGGGTTCAATCCCAGTGTGCAGAGTCTTTGGAAAGTGCCTGAAAACGATACCATGGGTTGACCCAAGCCTTGTGAGTGAATTTGGTTGCCATCGATAGATGTGCTAGCACGAAGTCACAAGTCATCGTGTCTGAGGGCTTGAGCATGCTGGCCTTGCTCAAATTGTTGATCACGCTAGATAACACACTCTTTCCCAGAAACTGTAACTAAGGTCTGCTAGTTGCAGTATAAACCACAGGTTGGCTCTGTGGGTGTTGAATAAACACAAATGCACCTGAGCAAACGTCTGCGATAGGGATTGGCTAGCACCTTAGTAGATGGGTATCCTCAAATAGGAGTGGCCAGCTATACAACAACCTATTGTTATATATTTGCCTGTTTTGTAAAAGTACGTTTTTTCTGGGTTTTTTTTGTGACTAGTTTTATTTGCTGTTTTTCTGTAAATGTCTTGCAGATGTCAGCCATGGAATGTCAAGAGGACAATAAATGCTCTTGCAGTGGAAACTGTGAATATGACGTGGCTGAAGGATTGGAGAATTTCCCAGTTTACTACAATGCCAAATCTTGTGTGAAGACATGGAAGAAATTCAAGGTAAGGTTACTGTGTGTGTGTGTGTGTGTGTGTGTGTGTGTGTGTGTATTTTGCCTTTTCTGATTCAAAAACAAAAACCTTCAGTATTTATAAAAGAAGTAAAGGATCATGATGACTTTATTCACAGTATTTTCTTATGCTTGATTATCTATGATTATTAAGGCTTGATTTGTATTCCTTTCATTTTAACTTCAGTTGCTTTTTATAGCAACTGCTTCGAATATCACTTTATAACTATCAGTAAATAACATGGATTAGGAATAAAGAAGATTCTTTCAGCAAGAGTCAAACACCAAAAGCCTGTCTTACCATGCGAGTTGCTCTAACCAACTGAGCTACTAGTACTTTAGAAATGGCAGGAGATCATATCAACCTATCTAACCATATCAACTGCTCTAACTGTATAAGGCTATCTTATCATATGAGTTACCCTAACTATGTAAGGCTATATTACCATGCCAGCAGTTTTAACCATGTAAACCTATCTAACCATGTAAGGCTACCATGCCAGCTGCCCTAACCGTATAAGGCTATCTTACCATGCCAGCTGCCCTAACCGTATAAGGCTATCTTACCATGCCAGCTGCCCTAACCGTATAAGGCTATCTTACCATGCCAGCTGCCCTAACCGTATAAGGCTATCTTACCATGCCAGCTGCCCTAACCGTATAAGGCTATCTTACCATGCCAGCTGCCCCTAACCGTATAAGGCTATCTTACCATGCCAGCTGCCCTAACCGTATAAGGCTATCTTACCATGCCAGCTGACCATATAAGGCTATCTTGCACTGCCAGCTGCCGTAACTGGATGAGGCTATCTTGCACCGCCAGCTGGCGTCCTGGGTATGATGATAAACTACATCCAACAGCAAGCCCTCTATGTTTTTGAAAAAATAATGATGCCGGCTGTACATTTTTGAAAAAATATTACCAGCTATACGTTTTTTTCTTTTTGAAAGAATAGTGTTGACTGCTATACATTTTTGAAAAAATAATATTACCAGGGGAAAAAAAAAAAGTTGTCAGCATTAAATGACCCATTGAGGTTGATATGCTGTAAAACAAAACAAACCAAACCAAACTTATACCTTTGTCTGTCTCTCTTGCTAATGATCAGACACTGTTTTCTTATAGTTAGTCCTTTCTTCTGACTTTCCTTTGTTACCTTATCTAGGAGTTCTTTTGGTTTTCCTTCTGACTCTGCCATCAACTTAATGTCATCTGCATATCTTATTTTGCTAAGGTTATGGTTGCTGATAATAAATCCTGGTAGAACTGCTAGTTCGTCTAGGATTGTCAATTGTTTAATCAGGCTTACTGAAGGCAAAGGCGGCATAAATTTAAATCTTACAAAAGACTTTATTATATCAGATCTATGCTGTTTACTCATTGTTGTAAATTGATGGGCTTAAATAAATTTGTCAGTGATAAACTGAAATAAAATTAATGATTGACAATGCTTTAGCTAATAAAAAAAATAGAAATTGTTTGAATCACATGGTGTGCGGGTGGTGTAATGGATAGTGGTTAGGAATGAGAAATCAGAGAGCCAAGTTTGAAATCCAGTTGAGTTCATTACATTTACTTATGTACAAATACCCTTGGGAAAGGTATGAATCCATCTCCTCTCTCTCCAGCTATGGATTAAATAGTAGGACTTGTATCGGAGAAAAATCATTGTTATTACCAAATTTTGATAATGCAATATTCACTCACAAAAAAAAAAGAATTATTCCCACAATCTAAAAAATGTTTCAGTTTTAAATAACCTACAAAGGGTTGACAAACAGTAAAAAAAAAATATTCCAATCAATTCTTACTTTTCTTCATATATTTTTCTTTTTTATTTGTTTTTCATTGTTGTTTAATTATTTTCTTGACTATTTATGCATCTTTGAAAATTTGTAATTTGAAATGTTTTCAGCTCTAGCAGCATGTGAAGATGTTATGTGTTCATACAAATAAACACATACAAATGGCATCTGCTTCTGGTTGTCATGACTTTAGAAGTAAGCAAATTTTCAAATAAAATGAGAAAAAAAAAAATTCAGCTGTTGATTTTAAACCAAAGTGTCTAAAATATATATATATATATATATATATATATATATATTTTTAAAGAAAAACAGACCACTTTAAGGTAACATTATAATAATTTTCACCAGAGCCCTTTTAAAGGACGCCGGATCATCAGATAACACTTGCAAAAAATTTTTGGAAGTGCTATCTGATGATCAGGCATCCTTTAAAAGGGCTCTGGTGAAATAAATTATTATAATGGTACCTTAAAATGGTCTGTTTTTCTTTTAAATATTAGCTCTGGATTTACATTGAGCTCTCAGGATTTCATCCTCCTTGGGATTACCCATACAGATTACCAAGTTCTTCATAACTTAACTAATTATATATATATATATATATATATATATATATACACACACACGGAAAATTTAATTCCAGTTGAGTACTCTTGAGAGAAAGTGTGAATTTATAAACAATGACTACTGCTGTTAATATTACAAAACTCTTCCATGAAGTAAGCTCTCTCGGTCATTGTTGTGTTTATTCGAAGAGTAAGTATGTAAAAAATTTGCCTTTCTTTCAACTGAGCACTGATAGCTCAGGTGTAGAATCTCTGACTGATGCCAAATCAGGCAGATTTTGCTCCTGGCTTGAGGCAATCTGATGCCTAGCCACACTGATGTGCTGTGATACTGCCTGTGGATGACATATATATATATATATATATATATATATATATACATACCTGTTTCATTAAATAATATAGACAATATTGATACATATTTTTTAATCCAATCTGTATATAATATGTATCAATATTGTGATTTTCTTTCTTCGTTTAATGATAATGTTATTAAGCTTATCAGACAATATAAAAAGAATTTACATAGAATAAATAGACAACACTTGTCTATATTATTTAATGAAACATGTATGAATGAAAAAATGCTGCCTAAATAGACACACACACACACACACACATATATATA